TCAGCTGAAGATAACTCAAAAATGGTTGCAGCAATACATTGACAGGGAGCTGCCAGAAATTCAAGCTGGATTCAGAAGAGGACGTAGAACGAGGGCGATCACTACTGATGTCAGATGGATCCTGGCTGAAAGCACAGAATATCAGAAAGATGTTTACCTGTGTTTTAATCACTATGCAAAGGTATTCAACTGTATGGATCATAACAAATGAAGGATAACATTGTGAAGAATGGGAATTCCAGAACAGTTAATTGTGCTCATGTGGAACCTGTAGATAGATCAAGAAGCAGTTGTTCAAACAGAACAATGGGATACTGCGTTGTTTAAAATCAGGACAGGTGCGCTTCAGGATTGCATCCTTTCACCACACTTATTCAATCTGTATGCTGAGCAAATAATCCGAGAAGCTGGACTATATGAAGAAGAACTGTGTATCAGGATTGGAGGAAGACTCATTAACAAACTGTAATATGCAGATGACACAACCTTCCTTGTTGAAAGCCAAGACGACTTGAATGACTTACTGGTGAAGAACAAAGACCACACCCTTCAATATGGCTTACACCTCAACATAAAAAACAAAAATTCTCACAACTGGACCAATATGCGACATCATGATAAACGGAGAAAATATCGAAGTTCTCATGGATTTCATTTTACTAAGATCCGCAATCAACATCCATGGCAGCAGCAGTCAAGAAATCACACAACGCATTGCATTGGGGAAATCTGCTGCAAAAGACCTCTTTAAAGTGTTAAAAAGCAAAGATGTCACTTTGAGAACTAAGGTGCCCCTGACCCAAGCCATGGTATTTTCAATCACCTCATATGCATGTGAAAGCTGGACAATGAATAAGGAATACCGAAAAAGAATTGATGCATTTGAATCATGGTGTTTGCGAAGAATACTGAACATACCATGGACTGCCAGAAGAAAGAACAAATTTGTCTTGAAACAAGTACAGTCAGAATGTTCCTTAGAAGCGAGAATAGCGAGACTTCATCTCATGTACTTGGGGTATGTTATCAGAAGGGACCACTCCCTGCAGAAGGACGTCATGCTTGGTAAAGTAGAAGGTCAGTGAAAAAGAATAAGACCATGAATGAGTGGCTGCAACAAGGGGCTCAAACATAGCAATGATTGTGAGGATGGTGCAGGACCAGGCAGTGTTTTGCTCTCTTGTACATAGAGTCATTAGGAGTTAAACCCAACTCAGCAGCACTTAAAAACATCTTACTACTTTTAACATGATGTTGGCACCGTGGTGACACAGTGGTTAAGAGCTCACCTGCTAACCAAAAGGTCGGCAGTGTGAATATACCAGCCACTCCTTGGAAACCTTATGGCACAGTTGTACTCTGTCCTGTATGGTTGCTGTGAGTCAGAACCAACTCAACAGCAATGGGTTTGGTTTTTTTGGTTTTAACACGTGTTGTTGTTGTTCTTAGGTGCACTCAAGTCGATTCCAAGTCTTAGCAACCCCATGCAACAGGGTAGAATTGCCTCATACGGTTTTCCAGGCTGTAACCTTTATGGAAAAAGACTGCCAGGTCTTTCTCCCACAGAGCAGCTGGGTAGGTTAAACCACCAGGTTTTCAGTTAGCAGCTATGCACTTAACCATTCCACTATCAGGGCTTTTCATTAACATGATAGTGTAAAAATATTTAATGCCATGGGAAAAATACATAAAACTAATTACTGAAATGAGAATATGTCTTTTAAAGAAACCTATGGTACATGCAAACCAACAGCATAATTCACCAAAATAACAGTACTTGTCTCTCAATGATGCATTTTCTGGCTGGATTTTCATGATCATTTTCTGTTCATGTTTGTCATGGATTGAATTGTATCCCCCAAAAATATGTGTCAACTTGGTTAGGCCATGATTCCCAGTGTTGTGTAGTTGTCTTCCCTTTGCAATTGGTATAATTTTCTTATATGTTGTAAATCTTAATCTCTGCCTGTGGTTAATGAGGCAAGACTGGATTATGTTGAAGACGATTAAGGTGGGATGTAACACCCTTGCTCGGTTCACATCCCTGATCCAATGGAAAGCGAGTTTCCCTGGGGTGTGGCTGGCAACACATTTATCTTATAAGAGATAAAAGGAAAGGGAAGTGAGCAGAGTTGGGGACCTCATACCACCAACAAAGCAGCGCATGGAGCAGAGAGTGTCCTTTGGACCCAGGGTTCCTGCACAGTGAAGCTCCTAGTCAAGGGGAAGACTGATGATAAGAGGCAACACAGAGAGAAAGCCTTCCCCTGGAGCTGACACCCTGAATTTGGACTTCTAGCTTACTAGACTGTGAGAACATAAGTTTCTCTTTGTTAAAGCCATTCATTTGTGGGATTTCTGTTATAGCAGTGTTAGATAACTAAGACAATGTCTGTCAGTATTTTAGTACAATGGACATGATCAAATTCTACTTCTGTAGTAAGGAATGCGATCTCACCTACAGAGAGTACTACTGGGGCTGGGTGGCACAAACAATTAAGTGCTGACTACTAGCCAAAAAGTTGGCAATTTAAACCCACCCAGAGGTTCCTTGGAAGACAGGCTTAGAGACCTGATTTCAAAAAGTCACAGCCCTGAAAACTGCATGGAGCAGTTCCACTCTGCACAGTGGGGTCACCATGAGTCAGAATGGACTCAATGGCAACTAACAACAACAACACAGAGAGGTCTGGCCTTTGTCCTGGCTCCTGGGAGGGAACCTCCAAACCCTTGGAATTTCCAGAGTGACAGGACTGCCTTTATGATTCATGGTGGGCCCCTTGGTCCACACCTGATGGTTTATACTAAAGAGGTGGAAGCTGGTAATGTGATTAGAGAGTTGGGGCTTGAGTTCATATCAGACAAATATGAACAGGTAACATGAGAGCCCACCGCAGGAGGAAACACACAGCTACCCAGAGGGGGTCAGCTGGTGAGACCACCTGTGTGGAAATTAGGTGGGGTTTCTTTGGTAACAAAGCTGCGCTTTAACATTCAACAACCAAAATGAAGAAATGCCTATTTATTACTCACAGGGCCTGGAAAGGGAGCACACTCAAGGGCCACATGCAGTTTACATTAGAGAGGAAGGCGAGAATCAAAGAGAGTGCAAACAGACCTGGGCTTGGCCTTTAATAAGGTCAAGGCGGGGGGAGTACAGTTTATTTCATGAGCTTAGGGACTATTGGCTAATTTAAAAGAAGTGGCAGGAAGCTGGGGGGCCCAGGCGGCACAAATTTGGCAGAGGGCTTGGGGTTATCATCTAGGTTCTAAGATGTGACACGTGGGTGGGAAAGGGAGAACCAGTGAGAGGAAGAACTTCCTCTGGATGGTTATTTGGGATTTTCATGCGGTTGTGAGGGTGAGTTGATTAGGAAGATGAGCAGACCTGGTCTTCTGAAATAAGTAATGTTTAAGCTCAGGCTGGAAGAAAACGGATGCCGAGGCATTTACAAAATGGAGTTTGGGTTTATTACAGGGCTTCGGCCCCCATGATACCAGCCTGACTTGGGGGATGGGGCCGCAAGTGGAGGGCTGGAGTTCAGCCACATGAGCTATAATTCAAACAATCATGCCTATGTGATGAAGACTCAAAAAAAATGCTGGACACTGAAGCTCATGTGAGCATCTTGGGTTGGCCATAATCCATAGATATTGTCACCATCAATGCCATCAATCACATCCTGAGGTTATGGAAGTTTGGCATTTGGAACCCTCCGATACTCTGCCCTATGTGTCTCTTCTTTGGCTGGTTCTAATTTCTATGTTTCCCCTGTAAAAACGTGATCAAGAGTATAATAGCTTCCAATGAGTTCTGAGAGTCTCTGTGTGGAACCTGAGGGCGGTTCTGGTAAACTCCCTAACTTGAAGTTGGTTTCAGATGTCCCAGACAGATTTGGCAGTCTGGAGGACTGGTGGTAGTTTTGAGTTTGGCTAACTATGGTAGTACTTTAACTCCAGAAGAATTTGATTTGATTTCATTACCTTTTAAAAAACAACAGAAGGAAGATTGCTCTTAGGACATTTGTGTGGATTACAAAGGAAACCAACATGACTGCCGATTAGAGCATCTCTGTTGCAAGAAGAACCTGCAGTAAACAAACAGTGCTTTCATTTGCCATTAAGATTATAGCCAAGAAAACCCTACGGAACAGTTCTCCTCTGTAACATGTGGAGTTGTCATCAGACAGAATCAACTCGATGGCAAGTAACAAAAGGGAAAATTACACATGAAGATAGGATATTCATGTCTATGTATGTACGTAAAAATGTATGTGGGAAACATGACTAAATAGGAACATACAAATTAAAGAAAAATTGATTAATCATTAAGCCTGAAGAGAAAAATTAAAAACAATTCCCATTGAAATCATCATGTATACAATGCAATAAAATGTAAGCATCTTGAGAATTTAGTATATCTAAATTAGTGAATAAGAAGCCCTGATGGCAGAATGGTGAAAGACTGGGCTGCTAAACGAAAGCTGCCCTTTTGAACTGAAGACCTGGCAGTCTGCTCCCATAAAGACTGTTGTTGTTGTTAGGTGCCATGGAAGTAGGTTCTGACTCATAGCAACCCTCTGTACAACAGAATGAAACATCTGCCTGGTCCTGCAGCATCCTCACAATCATCACTATGTTTGAACCCATTGTTGCAGCCACTGTGTCAATCCATCTCGTTGAGGGTCTTCCTCTTTTTCACTGACCCTCTACCAAGGATGATGTCCTTCTGCAGGGACTGGTCCCTCCTGATAACATGTCCAAAGTACCTGTCCATAAAGATTACAGCCTAGAAAACCCTATGAGACAGTTTTACTCTGTCACATAGTGTCATTATCAGTCACAATCAACTGCAGAGCACCTAACAACAACAAATTAGTGAATACTAACGGAACTTTTATCAAAGACATTTGGATACACGATTGAACATTCATCAAATATGACCCTGTAGTGAGTCATAAAGAAACTGACAGCTAATTGCAAATAAGACAATATCTTACCGTAGTTAACAGTTTTCGTATTACTGGATATTGTGTTGTCTTCAGTTAGAAGTAAAGCTGTGAAACAATCTCTAAAAAAGAAAAGGAAGTGTTAGGTAGGCCACAGTTCCTGCACAGTGAAATAAAAATGAAAGTTAAAAAAAAAAAAATCAGACAGTGCAAACAAAACTAAACAAATCAAAAAGCAAAAGATAGTTTATAGACTTACAATGTGATTACAAGAAAAGTTTTTTATAATCTATGTGACAATTGGTAAACGACCAACTGAAAGTCATATTCACCACGAAGAATCAAAGTACTCAAAACCAGAGAATGTGGTCAAAGCAATGATCTTGAAATATCTGTATCTTTAAAAACATAACATTAAAAAAAGAAAAAAAACCATTGCACTGGAGTGGATTCCGACTCATGGCACCCCACGGGTTACAGAGGAGAACTGCTGCAAAGGGCGTTCTTGGCTGTAATGTTTACAAGAGTACAGGCTTCTCCTGCAGAGCCACTGGCTGGATTGAAACCGCCAAAATTTTTTTTAGGTTGCTACACCAGCTTAAAATTTTGCCCCACACAGGGATCTTAAAAAGGGGGGGGGGGGCAGGGGGCATTGAAAAGTAGTAAACCGATCGTTCAAATCTGTAAACCAAGTAGGGAAAAAGGAGACACGAATTTCATATTAAAAATTAAGTAAATATCAATAGAACTTTAAAGAAATGATGAACTTCAAGAATAAAAAGAAGAAACAGATTATTTCACTGAAAATGACAAAACGAACAAAACTTCCTGATTTGCGTCATAGGGCATGGGGGGCCACCCTGAGAGCGCAAGGCAACAGGCTGGGAGAGCAGGTGACAAGCCCCGCGGTGCCTTTCCGGGGAGGGGTCGGTGCAGGGCTCCGACAAGAAAGGGGGCGGCGGGTGCACCGTCCGGAGGGGGAAAGGCCGTGCGGACAGGCTCGCAGCTGCTTTAACCGGAAATAGAGGCGGATCCAAGGCAGCAGCAGGGCGTGTGCGGGGACTTCAACGTCCGCAGGGACCCTCGGACTCCAAGCGGGGAGGACATGGGGCTGGAGGGGACGCGAACCGCCGATTTGAATTAGAAAAAAGACATCGACTTAACCTTGTGGGATCTTCGCTCACAGTGAGCTTCTTCCGTTGCGCAGAAAATGGCGCTGCCTGCAAGGGTGTTCAACGGGTAGAGGCTGGAATGGCAAGGGACAGAAAGGGGCTGTGCAGGGGGCGGGGCCTGGTGTAACACTATCAGGATGTTCCTGCCCCCTGCTACCCCTAAGTCAATTGAGAGACACCAGACCTTTGAGAAAGAGAAAGCAGACTTTACGGCAAGCTGGTCAAGCAAGGATCTGGGAGACTAAGTCTCAGATCAAGCTCCCTAAGGTTGGGGATTCCAGGAGAGTTATAAGGTTGGGGATAGGGAATTTATCCATAGTTCATCAAGCTTCTGAGAACAGGCGGGCATTTCCAGGAACTAATTAACGTGTGAGGGTGCAGAGCCACGGCGGCTGGGGGGGTGTTTTTCGGGGTGTGATGCATGAAGTTCATCTAAGCACACAGCCTTGCTGCTTATTGCACATGTCCGAACGGACAGGAAGCAGTCAAGTGGCCTTGGGCTGCCACACAGGATGCCTTATAAGGAACTAGCTGGCCACAGACTAGGGGTGTGATGGATGGAGGAGAAACAGGTTAACACTGTTGGTTACACTGGGATGGCAAGAGGTGGGGTGGGGCGGTGCAGGGGGCGAGGCCTGGGATACCAGGCGGGGGTGGGGAACAGGGCCTCAGAGGGGTGGGGCGTGGACTGGAACAGGCCAGGCATGAGCTCCGCTCCCCTCCCCTCCCCCACACACGGGTTTTCAGTTTCTGCCCCTCCAACAGAAATTTATTCTCCACTTTTTGAACCATTTCAAACTCTTTGAGGTCCTGAGCACCAGAGCTGCTTCCAATAACCTTTCAAACAATTTCAGTAAAAGAGGAAAGTTGTGTAGGTCACATATATTCAAGCTGACATTTTTTTTCCTACCGTGTGGTTGTTGTGTTTGTGTGTCCTGGAGTCAATCACGATTCATAGTCATCGTATAGGACAGTACAGCTGCCAAATAGGGTTTCCCAGACTGTAAGCAAAGATGTCACTTTGAGGACTAAGGTGTGCCTGACCCAAGCCATTGTATTTTCAATCATCTCACATGCATGCAAAAGCTGGACAAGGAATAAGGAAGACTGAAGAAGAATCAATCCATTTGAATTATGGTGTTGACAAAGAATATTGACTATGCTGCCAGAAGAGCAAACAAATCTGTCTTGGAAGAAGTACAGCCAGAATGCTCCTTAGAAGTGATAATGGTGAGACTTCGTCTCACGTACTTTGGACATGTTATCAGGAGGGATCAGTCCCTGCAGAAGGAGATCATGCCTGGTAAAGAAGAGGGTCAGTGAGAAAGAGCAAGTCTCTCAAGGAGATGATTTTACACAGTGGCTGCAAAAATGGGCTCAAGCATAGCTTGACTCAATGGCTGTGGGTATGGGTTGTGATTATTCAAGAGTGAGCTATGTTTCCTGTATCAAGCAAAACCTGCTCCTCTGTTTCATGGTACAGTTAGCCCACGACTTACCACAAGATTACATTACAATCACACCGTTGTAACTTTGTTCTGATGTAAGTCAATACCTCTTTTTTTTTTCATTATTATTGTCTTTTATTATCAGTATCTTTATAAACCTGATCTTTATTTGTTGGCGTCAGTGTTGAACAACGAAGTTGGAGTCTTGACGGCTGTTGGGTTCATGGGCAGTTGAATTGTCATAAGTCGTTAGCGCTGAACATTATCCTACTTTCTATCCATTATGATGCCCTACACCAACACAGACACAGACTTCATTGTAGACCAGGCCACAGGCTGCTATATGACAGTGTTTTGATCAGTAAATCATAATATTGAACATCTACGAGTGAATACCCGAGAATCATAACATCAGCATATTATGCACTGCAACACTGTATGTACTGCATATTACTAATAAGATAC